TGGAGGTCACTGATGACTTTTACAAGAGCAGTTTTAGTGGAGTGATGAAGACAAAAGGCTAAATAGAGAGCATTCAAGAGGCAGGAGAGGAAGCAGAGACACCAAGTGTTGACAGCTTTTTTTGAGGAGTTTTTCTGTCAAGTGATGCAGAAAAATAGGGAGATAGTAGGAGGCGGAGTATTTTTTTAAGACAAGCAATGTTAATACCATGTTTTTATGCTGATAGGAACAATCTGCTACAAAGCAAAATTGATATAAGAAAGGGAGAAATTATAGTTGCAAAGTTCTCAAGGTGAATGGAATTCATTAGGTATGTGGTAGTGAGATGGTCATATGAACACTTTATTCATACAGTGTATTAATAACATAGGAAAGGAAGAGGATTTGGTGATGAGAGCCTGTGAAAGTTCTCTTACACTTTCTTCTCAGTGAAATAAGAAGGAAAGTTATCCATCCACAAAGAGCAAAGAGCAGCGAGGGAATGGTGGAGGTTTAAGGACCGAAGAACTGGCATAAACCCAGGCCGACTGGATCCTAAGGTGGACTATTAATCACAACCCAGTTGCCTCTCACGGAAAATGCTGAGCTCATCATTGCTGATACTTCTGTGTTCACTTCATTTTATACATACACTACATAGTTTCTGTGCATTATCTCATTTAGTTCTTATTACAGTCCTATGAGACATAAGTACTATTATTCCTATTTTGCATTCAAGGAAACTGAGGATTAGAGAGGGTGTCTTGCTTAAAGTTACACAGCTAGTAGGTGGTGGAGTTGAAACCGAAATCCAGATCTGTCCGACCCCAAAGGCAAGTGAGGAAGAGAGTATTCCATCTTAAGAACTGCAAAGCCTGAACGTGCCCAATCTCGTCTGATCTCAGAAGCTAAGCAGGGTCGGGCCTGGTTAGTACTTGGATGGGAGACCACCTAGGAATACCAGGTGCTGTAGGCGTTAAAACAAAACAAAACAAACAAAAAACTACAAAGCTTCTTGGAAAACCGTAGCTTTGTTTCCTGTGTTAGATCTGGTACCTGGCATTTGCCCTGGTAATCCATCAGCAGCTCCACTAGTCAGTTCTCCCTTCCTACTCAGTTACTAACAAAGTGATTCTATTAACTTGGGATGCTTTTGGCTCTTAGTAGCAGAAAACTCAACCACAATGGCTTAAACAAAGAGAGCTTTTGTTTTTCTTACATAACAGAATGGAGGTAAGCGGTTGCCGGCATTGGTTCAGCTGCCCAGAAGAGTAGTCAGGGACCCAGGCTTGCTATGTCTTCTCACTCTGCCCTTGTTAGTGTATTGGCTTTTGTTCTTACACTTGTCTTATGGTTGCAAGATGGCTGCTGCTGTTCTTGACATCACCTCTGCTTCCAAAAAAGAAAGATGGAGAAAGAGCTAAGGTGAAAGACAAAGGAGTGTGTTTATCCTTTCTTATCAGGAAAGCTTGTCCCTTCTTATCTGGGAGATATTAGATTTCCCAGAATCTCTATTCAACAGGCTTCTTGTTATATTAGTAAGTCAGAAATGGGTCACCTGGCCACTCCTAGCTGCAAAAGGGAATGGTCAGTACCTGCCTTCCTTGTCTCTGAGGTTGAGGCAAGCTGTGGAGAAGGAGTTGGAAATGCTCAGAGGACAGCTAACCTACAATGTCTGTTAAAGGTTCTCTTGCCAGAGGAGAGGCTTTGATTGGTTTGGTCAGTTACATTCCAGTGTCAAGTGCCCCGGGTGGACACAGTTTTCATGTGGGCCTCCATATGGGTCCCTGGCCTATTCAGTTTGGGGGCAGGATATTAATTTGTAGTCCCTTCAGTTGTAACATGGGAGCAAGTGGTGGGGACAAGTAATACCAAGTATGGTAACCTCTGTGGAAGAGACCACTCTGCATGTCTTAGATGGCTTTCTAGTACATCTGGAGAAGTTTCCACAACACTGAGCAGGAGAAAGATGAAGAGACTTGGGGATAAGGAAAGATTTTTTTTTTTTAAACAACGCTTAGACATATAGAAAAGATTATAGAATTTCAAATGCAAAAACTATGTACCAGAAGACCCCATTAAAAAAGTGAAGAAAGTCAACTGGAAGAGAGTATTCACAAGAGCATTAACTGACAAAGGATTAATATCCAGAATACTAATACTGTAATTATACATAATTACAGTATACATAAAATTTAAAATGTCAAACCACTCAATAGAAAAGTGGCTGTTCATAGAGGAGGAAAGCTAAATAGCCAATAAATATGAAACTGCACAACTTCAGGGCAACACAGGTTAAAACAACAGAAGAGCTCTGACACCTCAGACTGATACAAATTAGAAAGTTTGGCAAAAGGGCCTAGAGCAGTAAGAGTAAGAATGAGAGTACTGTGAGTGGGGGTGCACACTGGGGCTTTATCTGGAAAGGTAGTTGGAAAATCTGGTAATGGTGAAATACTCATAAACTGACCCTGCAATATATATCCCCCATGAGGTAGAGTCCCTGAGAGCTCCTGCACTTATGTTTGAGAGACAGTATAAGAATGGTTATTGCAGCTTGGTTTATAATAACAAAGTATTGAAAAGATCCTAAAGAACCATCAACATGAGAAAATATGAGATTGGCATTGCAATCATACAGTGGAATGAATACTCCAGAGAGCTGCATGGAACAGAATAGGCGAACTATCACAATAGTGAATAGAAGAAAACCAATTGCAGAAGAATACATAGAGTATAATACTATTTATATTTATATAAACCTAAAAACATGTAAAACAACGATACAATATTTTAAGGGATGCATACATAGTAGTAAAAAAGAAAATGCACGGAAATGACAAGACTCTTGGTCAGAATAGCGGTTACCTGAGATGGAAATGCAGTTCTTTGAAGCAGTTAGCTCTTGGGAGAGTGGTGGGTGGGGAGGGATACAGAGAGTGTGTGCATAGGGTCTTCAACTGGATTTGCTATGCTTTATTTCCTTAGGGAAGGGTACACAATTGTTTATCATATTCTTTGTATCTTTCGTATACCTGAAATATTAAATACATTGAATAAATGTTTAAAAGAGAAGACAGGAGAGTAAAAGAACTTTGAGAGTACAAAGTTTAGAAAACAGGTCTGTGCCCGCCTCCATTGTATCTTTATTAGACCAGGCACACAGCAGATTTTTGACAGCAAGGTTTCCAAATTGTCGGGTTCATTAAGTGATCAGGTTCATTAAGTGATCTTGTTATCTGTGTAGCCTGGTCTGCACCAGAGAACTCTTTAATCACTCCCTGTCCCCCTGCCAGTTCCCCATTCCACATGCTCAAAGGAATGTTTCGATTGGAATTATTTGTCTTGCTGACATTTTGCTACAAATCCTACTGAATTGAATTAAGTTATGAAAAGATAACATATTATGAGTGAATGGTGCTATAGAGGCCCAATCTAGTTGCAGTTGGTAAACTGCCCAATGAGTAAAAAGGATGCCTCCACTTTCTTTCCTCTCATCTCCTTCTGGTGGCTTAATGTCCCCAGGCTTCATCTGTGACTCCTGGCTGGCCTATCCTGTTCTTGTTTGTAGTGCCATTTATATGATGGGTTTCAGTAGCCTCGAGGTTTCATTCTGGCAGCCCTCAGCTTGCAGGCATCATACTTCCAAGGCTCAGCCCACAGGTGGACAGCGCACTACTGAACTTCATCTTCAGCTTGCTCACTCAAGGCCTGGATGTAGAGTTTGACCTGTTTGCCACCGCAGCCATCTCTCTCTGTCATCTTCAGCCCTATCACTTTCACTAACCACCCCTCCCCCTCAAACCACAGACAGGAACCTTCACTCTGTAGTCAGAGGGAATGTATTGGTTACATAATTGCTGTTTGGAGGTATACTGGCAGGTTAGACTTTCTGGAATAAATGTTTACATAGTTTTGTAGTTCAGTAATTTTCCAGAAGCATAGGTAGCCTGGGCCAGGTATCCCCTGAGTCTGTTAGGGTTCACCCCCATTTCTCTTTGTATGAATGGGGGCTGTGACAGGCTCCCTGTGGTAGAGCATCCTAAAAGGTAAAGCAAAGGATTTCTTTTTCCATGGAAACACCATAGCCCAGGCCCAGGGGCCTCTGGGGGTAGACACGGTGCTTTAACATGTTACTTTCACAGCAGACTGTAAAAGGAGGTGAGCTTCCTGCATCTGGGCTGTTTTCTGGCTGCCAAACAAGCAGAGGAGGCTGATAAATCCAGTGTTCACTTTGTTCCAGGCGGTTTGTCTTGGCTGGTCAACTTGGAGAAACCAAAGTAGTTCAACAGGACATATGGTTGAGTTAAATAATTGGACATATCATTTTGCTCTAACAAAACCTGGATGCCCAGCACAGCACCATGTTCTTGTGGACATAATATACATAACATGTGGTGGTGATGTTGCTAGCAAATTCATCTAGGTTGAGGACAGCAGATAGGTTTCAATTCTTGTGAAATCTCTGATCCTTTAAAAATGGCTACCTGGAGTTCTGAGTTGGTAAGGATTCGGAAGCAAGTCTAAGCCCAGCAGGGGAAAATGCTGATCGATCAGCATTGTCTATGATGGGCACAGAGATAGGGCTTGGGGCATTTCTGTCTAAAATACTCATAACAATGTTAAAAATTAAGAAACCTTTTAACATATCAAACTATGAATGAGGTTATCTGTAGATGGTTAGATTACAGGGGACTTTAATGTTCTTTTGATAATGATCTGTATTTTCTGCATTTTTGACAGTGAACACGTATTATTTTAATAAGCAAGAAAAACACCCTTAGTGTTATTTTGAAAAGAAATGTCTTACGTGAATGAAACCAGTTATTTGAAAGTGCTGGTTCAGTGCTTGATTCTGCTTCTGGGCTGTTTAGTTGCATTATGCCTAGCAGTGGGCTCGGCGTATTCTCTGCCTTTCCCTTTCCTGTACTTCAAAAAATCCTTTAATCATGGGCCACAGTTTTTGCTATGAAGTAGAATGTGGGCCTGGCTGATTGGTTTCTTATCTTCTAATGTGGCAGGTCGAGGTGGTGCATCTATCTATGGCAAGCAGTTTGAAGATGAACTTCATCCGGACTTGAAATTCACAGGTAAGTATATAATCTGGCTGGACTGGGTGGGAAAGGGGAGTGGATTTTAAAAGTTCATTCTTTTGGCTGTGATTCTGGATAATTGCCTGACATCATGGCATGGCGCCATGTAACTGCCCAGCTGTGGCGCCACAGAGAGCCCTACAGGATTAGAGAAAGTGGTGCCTCTCTGAGTCCTAAGTGATTTAGAGTGCTGGTCTGAGTGTTTTAGACTCTACCTACTTGTTGAAATGTTGCTGTTATAAACTATAGGAAAACAAAAGCTTCCTCAAAGAAGCAGGAGACCTTGCTGGGATATTTTAAGGGAATTGGGGACATGGTCTAGTGATTAGTGGGGATCATCATGGATAGAGCTAGGGAATAGGTGAAGACAAGGGAGATAAGGTCATCAGGGTAGTGCAGTTGATGGCCTTTGTGCTAGGGCAGAGAGCCTGCCATGAGGGGATGTTTTCTGGGTCTGGTGGTTGATGATAGAGGCCAGAACAAAGTCTGGCTTGTTTTCATCCCTGAGATGGTGTAGTAGTGCCAGGTTGGAGCTATGGGAGTTATTCATACTCTTCCCTCTCTTCCTTTTTCCCACCAGGGGCTGGAATTCTTGCAATGGCCAATGCAGGGCCGGACACCAATGGCAGCCAGTTCTTTGTGACCCTAGCGCCCACCCAGTGGCTTGATGGCAAACACACCATATTTGGCCGTGTGTGCCAGGGTATAGGAATGGTGAATCGAGTAGGAATGGTGGAAACAAACTCCCAGGACCGCCCTGTGGATGATGTGAAGATCATCAAGGCATACCCTTCTGGGTAGTCTTGCTGCTGTCTTGGGTACACCCAGGTCTTCTCAGAGGGCCCCAGAGAACCAGCTTCCAAATGACCTAGAATGACGTGTAATTCTAAACTTCACTTTGGCCTTGCAAAAGCATGGAGCTAAGGAATCATGGGGTCTTAGTTGAGTTAGAGATGGAAGTGTATTTTAATAGGATGCTTCTTTTCTCTTGGAGCCTAGGTTGATAGACCATTGGCAGAAATGCCCACACATGATTGTACACAGGTTACTGCTCACTGCACATGACCCATACTGCTCCTTTTTGTGTATATCTGCTCTAGTATTCTAGTATTCTAGAACAAAATGAAGCCAACTCCATCATTTCTCAGTGCCGAACCAAACTTCTTCCTGTGGAGATTTATATTCTGACCTACACTGCAGTCTTTGGTGGCTGACAGCCACAGAATTCAAAACTAAGTAGTGTCTGTCAGCCTTCTGAACTCTTTGCTCACCCTATTTCAGTCTCCTACATTTCTTCTTCCCGGGAATGTATGCATCTCTCCATATATTTTCCCTCTCAGAACCAGAACATCAATACTGCTGTTTCTGACACTTAGACATCCCACGCAAAGCCTCATTGGATTTTTGCCAAATGAAAAATGCATCTAACAATCAAGTTTCTAAGAAGGTGTCAAGTGTGGAATGATAATGTGTAATAATCAAGAAATGAATTTATTCAAAGGAAGCAGAAGCATTGACCATTTTTCCCCATGGAGTAGAAATCTGGACTGAGCATAGAGACAGACTGAATTCTCCTTAAAAAGCAGTATTCTCATAAAGGAGAAGTAACATTTCAGTTTTTTTTAAACTTAAGACTTTAGAGAAACTAAGATTTTATATGTTTTTTTTTTTTTAATCTTTCTGATTTTTTAGCGAGGGGCGGGGCGGTGAGAGAAAGGAAGTTAATATCTATGTAATACATAGAAACTTTCAAAATAAAATGCCATTGATGGTTGAAATCACTGCTGTGATTTTAAATATTGACAAAGTTCTAACAGCCATTTTAACCTCTGAACCATCTCAACTAGTATTGCAGGGCTCATCTTCAAGATTTCACATTATTTTAGGTTTGTGGATCTCCAGTGGATTTCTCCCATTCAAGAGCATGTCTGACTTTAAAAAGGCAGTACCAAAGAAAGAAGTTGAGTGATATCGATTAGCATTTCTGAGTGACGGGGAATCATCCTGTAGATTAACCAGGTGGATGTGCTGAGAGACCCGAACCATCCCTCAAATTTGAAAGAGATACACCTACCTACCTGCTGCTATGGGCCCAGAGGCAATAGGTGTTGTGGTGTCTGCTTTCTTAAACTGGTAGTTCCTTGATTGGAAAGGGGATTGTAGCTTAAATGTTCTTCCTTATCAAATTCTATAAATTTTAGTAATGGTGATTTAATTTATGGAATGACGACGTGAGGTTCTTTTCCCCCAGGTGTTCCTTGCATTCAGCCTTTTTCCATTCTTCCCTCTTTTCTCTCAACAACAAAAACGCAAAACCCAACAACAAACTATGTAAATAACTTTGTAACTTCCCAGAGATGGTTTTGGGGTACAAAGTACTTTTCTGGGAAATTAGAAATACATTTGTTTTAGTCTGAACCGGGTAGATACAATTGGATCCACCTCTAGGAGCAAGGAATAAGACACTCATCTACTTCCCAGAATTGTAATCCTGAAAATCCCCACTTTCACCGAGATCATCAGAGTGATGGAAAGGTATCATCACCACTTTGAGGAATAAAGCAGGTTGTGAGGACATGGGAAGAGAGGAGCACAGGCACAGTTCCTTGTTTCTGGAAAAGTACCAGCATATATATGCCAAGGTGATCACACATGTGAGCATATACCAGCTTTCATAAAGGATGTAACCTCAAAGTGAAATTTGAATTCTTTCAGTTTCTAGTGATTCTGCCAGTTAGCCAGAGATGTAGAAATTTGTTTCTATGTAAAGAGAGCTTGTTTTAAAGGGAATACTGGTTAATTCTTTTGTCATATGAGTGTCCCCATATCTTAGAATAAGTACAGTAGAAGTCTTATAAAAGTGGGTGTGCTAGGGCACATTAGATTAAGGTGAGGGTAGCTTATGAGAAGGCAAGGATGAGTTTATAAATTAGAGATTATTGAAGATAGGTTATGGGACTGCTGGAGCTAATCAAGGGACAGAAGAGAGTTTTGCTGGGAAGGATTGGACATTCTAGACTTTTTGGAGAAGGCTTGGATTTGGACTAACAAGCTAATGAAAGAAGCCTTCAAACAAGTGTCCCTGGGATGGGTAAGAAGTTTGGCACCCAGACTATAAAGTGCATGGCTCCAAGGGCCTTAGCCCAGGGCCTCTCATACTTCACCGCACATAAGAGTCACTGGGGAGTCTGCTAGAAAGCAAGTCCGGCTTCAGCATCCATACAGAGATTCTGCATTTCTAACAGCTCCCAGGAGATGGTGATTGCTGGTCCAGACACCACACTTTGAGTAGTGAGATCCTATAGTTCATGTTTGTGTAATGTGAAATTGCGGGGTGGGTTCCCTAAGAGCATGGAGCAGTCAGAACAGTAACCTGATCTTTTAGTAGACATCTCAGAAAAATGCAGGGGCGATGTCATCAGCAATTACGACATTGAAGGAAAAGGGCTCTGGAACCAGCCTGCTGGGGTTCAGATCCCAGCCTCACTGCTTACCAGCTGTGTGATAAAGTTTCTTAATTTCTCTGTTCCTTCGTTTCCCCAACTATAAAATTGGTCCTAACCTCATAAGGCTATAGTGAAGATTAAATGAGCTAGAACAGGGACCAGCATTTAGAAAACAGCTGTCATTATTACAGTAGCCTCTGAAATCACCACATACCTCTCCTACTTCTTTATCCCAATATATCAGCAGCTTGACCTTGCATAGCTCTCCCTTCCTCCGGACTCACTTGTGAGAGCAAAGGCCTTGTCTTATTCCCCTCTAGGAGTCCCTTCTACCTTATGCAATTCTTCGAGGTTATTGCTAAATGAAGCAAATAAAAAATTGTTCTCTGTCAGGAAAAGATTGAGATCTATCTGCAGAAATAGCTTTACCCCAAATCTTCAAACCCGGACTTCATCTGGTATGGCAGCAAAGCCTTTCCACTAAGCCCTCTGGAAGTCCTCAGCTCGATTTATTTTTGGATTGTGTCTCCAGAATATGTCAAAATAGCTTCCCCTACACAAGGGAAAGGATTCCTACCCCCAGATCCTCCAGCCAATCTGAGCTGTCACTGTGGCCCTTTCTGGTACTACATTCTTGTAATGTGGAGGAGGAAACATTGAAAAGCACATTTGTGTAAGTGGCAAAGTTTACTGCCTACAAGGCACTTCATGGCCTGAGAGCCCTGTTGCTGTAGATTACTACCCTTTAGGTAAATACCAGAATAAGGTTCTTCCAGAAACTTTCTTTTACTAAGAGAGAAGCAAAGTGCAGAAGAAGAAATCATGTTAGGTTCTCGCTCTAAAGTTAACATGGTCTGATTTTAGAAATTGAGTCCTTTATTCTTCCAGTGGGTAATTCATGAAGCTATTTTGACATATGAATAATTCATGATCCTCAATGGCATCTGAAACCACAGATGGCCAGTTTGGGGCAAGGTTTGTGGACAGAACGACATGAGACTTTTGTGTGCCCTTCACCTCTGGAACTCGGTTTCCTTGTTCATCAAGTGAAGATCGGAACTAGGCCCCTTTAACCCTAAATTTCTAAATCTAGGTCATGGCATGAGATTTCCTTAAGCTGGCAAGTTTCCATTTAGTATGCTATTTTGGAAATTTGCCACTAGAGGCCACTATGAATACACTTTAGCCTTGGAGCCTCTTCGAAAGGCAGAAGCCTCCCAATGCCTTCCATGATTCTAAGCCAGGCCTGCCACTCCTTGGATGTGGAAAACCAGCAACTGCTCAGACTGCAAGGGGCCAGAATTGAGGTGTCAGCCTGGCACTGAACAGGCCTAGGAGGTCTCTCTTGTCAACACAGGCTGACCAGGCTCCTTTCCTGTCTACTGGAAGAGAAGCCCCTCGATTTGTGGGAAGGTTGAATGAGCTCTTGTGACCATTCTGATAATGTAACATGCTTCATCGTAAAGAGCCAATGCCCTCTCAGTTGCTCAGTATTCCACTTTACAGTTGAATTCATTTGTTCAACAAGTAATTTCAGAGCCCCTCTTTTAAGCCTAGCAACAGCAAATACTTTCATAGAACCAGGAAGAAATTTAGAAGAAAACAGTTATATTGTTGCCCTTTCTCTATTCCATGGTGTGTGGAACATTCTTATATGTATTTTTCTCTTAATCCCCCAAACCAACTTCTGAGGTTGGCATTGTGTCCACTAGCATATGAACAAACTGAAGGCCAAAAGCAAGTGGCACAAAGCCTTGTACAGAGTGATAAATGGATGGATTAACGGGCCTAGGGTTGCATGGCTAATAAAAGGCAGGGCTAGGACTTGAACTGGGAACTGCTGATCCCAAGTTCAGCCCTTTTATGTCCACCTTTAACATACAGAGGAGGAAGATGAGGTGCAGAAAAAGAAAATGATCTGGTAGTAGGAGTTAGAATCTTAATCTTCCACCTTGCAGTCTGGGCTGTCCAACCGACTGCTCCATCCTGGAGCGTCCCCAGGCCCACATGGCTGGGAGACCCCTGCCTTAGCTGTCTCCAAGCTCTTTCTGAGCAGAGCCTGCACCAGGCCTGCTGAGGCACAGCAGGAGGGAGGGAAGAAAGGAGCACAAATGACCCTAATCAGTGTGTTTATTGGATCATAACTGTATTAGCCTCACCACTCAGCTAATCTCATAGAAATCACTTTTCTCTCCGTGAAGATCTGGCCACAGCTCCATTAAAAGCTGCTAGCCGCGTACCTATAAGGAAGCTCTTATACAGCTGAAGCGGTGGGGGAGGAGGGAGAAGCAATATTTCTGCTTCCTCATTACGCTGATGGAGAAAATGGCCATTTCACATTCACTGTATAAGAAAAGCCCCCAAAGGAAAGGGAATCCAAGGTTCGCAATTGTCTTTTTGGCAACATTCTGCTCTAAGAGAAAATCTGCCTCTTTTTTTGACAGCATTTGTGTTGCTGTTTAAGATAAAATAAGAGAAGAGAAGGAACTCGTGTTTGGGGAACAGACCAGGTGCCAGGGTTTTACATGTATTATTCCATTCAATCCTGTATGAAGGCCTGTGAACAAGGCAGTGGAATGTCCATTTCATAAACTAGTCCATTTCATGGATGAAGGCTCCACGTGGCAGGACTTAGCTTCAAGCTTGGGGTCTTCTCTCTCCCTCTATCACACCCTAAACTCCCACAGAGATGGTTTTCTTACCATTCTTTGCTCCCATTTCCAGCTCAAAAAATACAGAAACTGGTTTTCAAGCCAGATTGCTGTGTGACCTTGGCAACTTCCCCCCAAGCCTTAGTTTTCTCATCTATAGAATGAGGGGCCCAGACCGAAAAGGTCCGTCTGGTCTAAACTGTGACAATTTTCTGATGGTCTTTTTCTTTCAGGTAGCTCCCAGCATATCCTCAACTAATTAGAATTTCATACCAACTTAGAGGGGATGGTGGTATGGATATTATTATCTTCATTTTTTAAGCTAGGGGAACCTGAGAAGCAGAGATTCAATGAGAGTTCAAGGTCACAACATGAATTGAGAGAAACCGCACTCTGCCTCTTGCCCCCAGGCAGGCGGGCAGACAGCCTCTGAGAGGCTGTCAGCAGAGGCTCCCAAAGCCTGACACCTGAGCCTCACCCTGGTTCCTGATAGAATTATCAGAGAACTGAAGAACACATACTTCCCGTAATCAGGGCAACTTTTCTTAGCCAGGAATGGAGGAGGCAAGATGTGAATTGTGTCTGAACAACTCTTCCAGTGTAGAGCCCAGAGCAGAGTTAATAAAACCCAGGGAAATCACGACAGGCAGCTGGAGACATAGGCCAATTCCAGGAACAGGGCCA